AGAATCTCATGGGGATTTTCTGCCCAAGCTGGCTTTGAACCATGATCCTCAGATCTCAGCATCCTGAGTAGCTAGTATTACAGACATGAGCCACTGGTGACTGGCTATTTGTCTTCCTTATTAAAAATGAATAATATTTCATCATATGTATATACCACATTTTATTTTTTCATCCATTCATCAAAGAATGCTGGGACTGAGTTTACATTTTCGTTATTGTGAATTATTCTACCATGAAAAGTCTGACTTCCTGTGTGAACTCCTGACTTCAAGTATTTCACACATACTAGTTAGTGATATTGGTGGACATAAGGTAATTTCCACTTTTTTTAAAGGAATTACCACAACATTTCCCACCATAGTTCCACTACTTTATGTTTCCATTGGCAACCTGAAAGGATTCTTGCTTTCCTTCATGATACCTATGTTTTCCTTTCCTTTATAACAACCAACCTAATGTCAAGTAATATCTCATTGAGTATTGAATTTGTACTCTTCTAATAAGTAGTGAGTATAAGTGTTTTCTCCTGTGCTTACAGGTGATTTTTTATCTTTGGAGAGAGGTCCATTAAAGTCCTGTGCCCATTTTCACCTATTTAATATATTCTTAGTGTCCTTTGGTGTATAAAACAATTACTTTCAGTGAAATCTAGCTTATCTGTATTTTCATTCATGGATTGTGCTTTTGGTATGATATCTAAATCATAAAACTATTTCCCAATGTTTTCTACTTTTAGTTCCTATTGTTTTTGATGTTACATTTTGGTCTTTAATACATTTATAATCAGTTTCTATATAGAAAGTAAGGAGTCCACATTTAAAATATTCATTTGTTATGGACTGATTATTCATGTTTCCCCAAATTTATATTGAGGCATAAAATCAACAGGGGGGAGGTTGATGAATGAGAGAGGAAGTGTGGGAAAATAGCATTAAAATCTTCAGTGTAGATATGTAAAAATGGAACTAGGAAAATTGAAAGTATGAGTTGCATGGGAGGAATAGAAAAGAATGATGAAAGAGATGCCATTGGTCAATATGCATTATACTCATAAACTGACATGCTGAATTGAAACACCTTTGTAGAACTACTTAAAGATAATTATGTTGGAACCCTAAGTTCTAATGATATCTGGCATTGGGACTTTGAGGAGAGAATTTGGGTTAGATGACATCATAGGGATAGGCACCTGAGAATGAGTTTAGCACACAACCTCTCTGCTCTCCCTCTCCTTCTTACTCCCTCCCCCTCCCCTTCTCTCTCTCTCTTTCTCTCTCCCTCTCTCTCTCTCTCTCCTCTCTCTCTCTCTCTTTTCTCTCTCTCCTCTCTCTCTCTCCTCTCTTTCTCCATCCCATAACAATCCTCACCTACTTTGTAAGGGCACAGCAAGCAGGGAACCCCCTGGAAGTCAGAAAATAATCCTTTTCTAGAAAATTTACTTTCTGGAAACTTGACCTGGGACTTCAGGCCTTTAGAGTTATAAGAAAATTTCTTTTATTGTTGAAGCCAATTTTATTATGTCGATCAACTGAATGAGAGGAAAGGGGAACAGTTTACACTGAGCAAAAGGAAAGAAATGTACATATCCCCTGATTTGAAAGAAATAGTTGTATTGTCAAAGTTTATAGAATTTACAAAGTTTATGGACCATGATAATGATAATTTGCCTTGTGAAGGTTAAAATATGTTTGTGGCTTTAACTAATATCACTATCCCACAATACTGTGAAGTTTGTGAAATTTATGTAATCTCTTAAACTTGATAAAAATTATTTTTACAAAAGACTGAACATTTTCTGTGTACATGACACTCAAGTAAATATGGAGAAAAGATGTTTTGTCATGGAATCTCCCCAGAATACCATGCTTAAAGTTTTCCTAGGTGACAACTGTCAGCACCATGCACTAAAGTATAGCCCTGAGAACCTAACTATTCTTTCCATCCCCACACACCCCTATAGCCATCAGTCAGTGCTCCTCAGTAAATCCGTATTTCAGCCCTCACTCAGTGTTCAGGAATGTGAATCCTTCCAAAGCAGGAAATTGCACCTATATTTTAACCCAGGAAATTCCACTGCACATTCAACAGAGAGTGAGAAGGAAAAAAAATCAAGTAGCTTCTTGGTGCTATGATGAAATTTAAGACAGTTAAGTTGTTACTATGGTGAGTCAAGATATTGTTATTTCAAAGTACACCCAAAACTTTACTGCATACAAAACTTAACACTCTACAATCACTTAATTCACTTAAAGATATCTTTATATGGGAAGATATATATATATATATATATATATATATATATATATATATATGTATGTATAGGTATCCAGGCTCTTCCATTAAAATCGTATGATTAATTCTGTGTTTCTCAACCCTAGGAACTTAGAAAATACTTATTTGAAATGATACAAACCTGTAATCTCAGCAGTTGGGAGGCAGAGGCAGGAGAATGGTGAATTTTTGGACAGCCTGGGCACCATAAAGAAACACTGTCACAAAAATCAACCAATCAAACAACAACATGAATTTCATTCCAATTCAAACCACCAATTCAATCAGTTTGGAAATTAAAAACGTATAAATCTAATAGATGGTTCTAATGTAACAGCCATGATTGAAACACATGGGATTAAGGAAGCAGAATATAAACTGCAGAAGCCAAAAGTGGACAAACCGGCTTGCTTCATTAGTCCAGTTGCCTAGGTCAGGATCTTGGTATTTAATGCTAACTAGCTATGTGGCCTTGCCCACTACCAGGTGCTACGTCTCTCACACCCCATTTCTTTAGTTGTAAGTTGGAATAGGAGTGGTTCCATCTTCATGATTATTCTGGGGAGTAAATTCATTCAGTTATGGAAATCACATGGTAAATACTCATCAAACATCAGCATTAATTATACTAATATTAAGCACTGCAGAATCTGACCGGTCAAAATGTGAATTAAACAAGTCTAGTGGGATAAAAGGTAAGATGGAAGCATTTGATACAGACATTTTAAGAAGATAAATTTAACATGAAGGCAATTGCATCTCTAAATATTACCCCAGCATAAATTGGCTCAATACAGTTCAGGGTCTGATTGAACAGGGTGTTTTTATTTTGTGTTTGTTTCTTTAGTTCTTGATGAAGAAAATGACTCAAGCTAGTAGATTTGACCATACAGGACTTTTGGCGATGGTTAATGGGTTCTGAAAGCACTTATTGATCTTCAACAGTAGAGTTTTCATGTCTTGAGAAAGGAATTCCCCTGAAACCATGACCAACCAGGTAGCCATACTGCATCAACGGTCCCATTGACTGTGAGTATGTAAACATTGATTTGGCATTCATGTGGAAATACCAATCAGAGGGTCCTGTTCATAAATGAAGTGTTTGGACAAGAAGAAAAGTTACCACAGACAGAGTTAACTTGTCTATAAAGGCAAAAAGAGGTATGAGGTGTAAATTAAAATGATGGTGTCCACATCAAGAAATATTTTGGATATATCAAAATAATCTGGTTAATTTGGTCAGTGTTAAAAAATCCAGAACTCTTCCAAATTGGTACTCCATCTTGACCACAGTATTGAAATAATGAACAATGCTGATTTTGTGTTTTCAGTAGAGGAATAGTGTTCAAAATGTGTAACAAAATGATACAATATGGCTGGGTGCTGTTGGCTCATAACTGTAATCTTAGTTATTCAGGAGGCTGAGATCTGATGATCTCAAAGCCAGCCCAGTCAGGAAAGTCTGTGAGACTCTTACCTCCAATTAACTACCAGAAAACTGAAAGTGGAGCTGTGGCTCAAAGTGAAGTGGCAGAGCACTAGTCTTGAGCAAAAGAGGTCAAGGACAGTACCCAGGCCCTGAGTTCAAGCCCCATGACCAATAACAACAAAAACGGGGTACAATATAACAAATATGGTACATTACAGAAACTCACAGTAAACATTTGCTCACTCAGATTCAGTATCTATGGTAAATGCGGACTTCGTCTATACTTACTATATCCATGGACCATTAGCTCAGAATAAGTACCATGTCTTCTCTCCTTTTTAATCACACTTTGATAAAAACAGACTCTTCAAAGTGTTTTCCACTAATTCTAAATGGCTTTCTGTACTCAAGCAGTTTAACAACCCAAAACAACCCCAATTTTGTTGCAGAAATATTGGGAGAAGAAAGAATTTTTAAAATTATTACTGTCAATGCTCTGAGTCCTTTTAAAAATGTCCATTTAGAATATTGCTGATATTCTGGAAAAATAGCAGAGTAAAACACAGGGGCAAAAATCAGTAGTGTAAATTCCATCTCCAGCATAATGAAAAGGAACCAGTATGTTTTCTCATAAGGACTGAAAAGCAGTGATCAAGATATCAGGAGAAAGTGCTCACAGCTGCAGAACTCAGAGAACCACATACAGTCCTACAATGCTTATGCTTTATAGGGGTCAAACAATAAGAATTTGTCTTCTTGATAGCTTCAGGAAGCATGGACTTATTATTAAATAGGGTTCGGCTGGAGATATACCTCAGTGGTAGAGCATTTGTACAATGTCCTGGGTTCAAATCCAAAGAATTATGCACGCGTTGCACACCCCCCCTACACACACAAGTCATCTCCACATGAAGACTCTCTGTCTAGTTAGAGAGTTTAGTTAGAAAAAGCAATAGAGCTTCAGTAAGTTTTCACAACCACACTCAACTCTGAAAATTAAGAATAATTTTCACTAGTCTGAAACATGGCTAGTACTGATTATTTTTCTAAAATTGCCATTCAAGAAAACATAATTTATATCTTTAAAGATACCACAAGGAGGCAAAGAAAGATGAAAACAGAAGATTTCAGTACAGAAAGAACTTAGGGAAAAATATTGCACTTAACAAATAACATTTCCGGGTGGACTGGTGGGGAGACAGTAATGGAGATTGAACTCAGGGCCTAGTACTTGCTAAGCAGGTGAACTACTACTTGAACCGTGCTTCTAAGCTCCTCTTTCCATGGATTATTTTCAAGGTACCATCTCACTCGATGATGAGTCAGCCTGTGCTTTGATCTTCCTACCTGGGCTTTCTCATGTCACTGTAATGACAGGAATGTGCCACTGTGCCAGCTGTTATGCTTCCCCCGTAAGTGGGAAAACAGGCACACAGCGCCATGTTCTACCATGTTTGAGTTGGAGTCTTGCCAACTTTAATGACTGAGCAAGTAACTAGGATTACAGGTATGAGCCACTGTTCTGAGCAATAATAGAATATTTTAATCAAATATATTGCTATAAATTTTAAAGCCTCAAGTCAAGCATTTCTCTAAATTAGGACCATAAGTAGAAATATAAGTGCTCAGAGAAGTCCTATTAGAGATATAGGATATAATAGAAATAAAGATGGAGATAGAGACAGATGATAGAGAAATAAAGATATATATATATATATATACACACACACACAGACAGAGATTAGATAGATAGATGATAGATAGATAGATAGATAGATAGATAGAGAGATAGATAGATAGATAGATAGATAGATAGGCAAATATTTCCTCTAAGTGGAGATTTTTTCAACTATTTTTTAAAATAATAGTTCTGGTGCTATAGCTCAAGTGGTAGAGCGCTCGCCTTGAGCTGAAGAGCTGAGGGACAGCGCCCAGGCCCAGAGTTCAAGCCCCACGACCGACAAAAAAAAAAATTAAACCAGTAAAATAATAGTTCTGTCCTGCTTCTTCTGTAGTTCTTTAATTAATATTGATCTTCTAGATGGTGTCCCTTTAGTCTCTTAGGAGCTGTTCACTTTTCATTATGTTTTTTTCTTTTTGTTCTGCAAACTAAATTACTCCAAGTGACTTGGATTTGATGTTCCTTTGATGGCATCTTTTGGATATTGAACTATATAGATTTATTATCTATTCATAAATAATCCAACTGACAACTAATGACCACAAAGGAGGACATTTGAATCATCTTTTACCTAGTGAATTGAAGTAAGCAACAGGAGTAAAGAGAAAAGCAAGACTGGCAGAGAAAAGAATTGTGCAGTATGTGACTCTTTAGTGCTTACTATTCATTAGATCATCTTATTTTTCAGTAATTCCCCTAAGTTAAAGTTATTTAGATAGCACTCAATTGAGACCAAAACATAGGTAATGATAATGACCAACATTCATTTAGCCAGGCATCATTTTCAGTGTTGTGAGTGCGTTCATTCATGCACCCTTCTCCGCCCCCAATAAATCTTCATGCCACATGCACATTACTATTGTCTGTAATGTTCTGAGGTTAATCTGGCTTTCTAGTTTGCCACTACCTCATAGTATTCCTATCAAGTAAAGGGTTTCTGACATACAAGGGCAGATGACAAAGCCGTCTGCCCCCATTTCTACAATCTAGGCTTCTGGGCAGAGCTTTCAAAGACATTATCATCTCCCACAACTGGAACGGCTCCAGAAACGTAAGGTCTTCCAGAAGTCATCAGATGATGATGATGACCGCTTGGGGTGGCCTGACCAGGAGCAAATATCAACATTCAAAGACAATGTTGTTGCAATTTCCTGCTTGGAAGGCTTCACATTCCTGAGCACTCAGTGAGCACTGAAATACAGATTTACTCAGGAACACGGGCTGATTACCATCTGTAGGGAATGTGTGGAAAGAGCAATTAGGCTCTCAGGGCTTATGCTTTATTGTATGGCGGTGCCAATTGTTACATAGGAAAATTTTAAGCATGGCATTTTTGAGGAAATTCAATGACAAATGATCTTTCCTTCACATTTTTCTCAAAAGTGCCTGAAATTCCATAGGAAGGGTGACCTACTGTCTGCCAAGCCCATTTGAAAAATTTTATATGAACCTATCATATGCATATATTTGTAGGTATATGTATATGTGATTATGTTTTATATGCATGAATATAACATAACATAATGAAGTGGTATAATATAATCTTATGATACAATATAATATATAAGTCCACATGAATATGTTACATGATTAACACTAAAGAAACTGAATTATTTTTAAAAATCAAAAGTATAGAAGTTAGTCAGATAGCTGCTCTGAAACATGTGTCTTAACTCTGTGTCTTAAGATAAACTTCCTTAAATCTGAAGACTCTCATCTGTAAAATGGAGCATTTCTCATCCTATAAGCTTGTGTGAACTAAATACACACACACACACACACACACATACACTTGATACAGAGTCCAATTAAATGTTCCACTAACATTGACTTCCTCCCACACCTTCCTACCCAATTAACCCCATCCTCTTGGCAGGAAAGTGAAAACCTGACTACCTTGCTAGAAGCTGGCCCTTTGTGGAATGGCCACCCACACTCTTTTGTTCATTGCACTCCCCTGACCCTTGACCCAGTCTGCTTACTCAGTACACTGCATGTGAGCCAATCTCACAAAGGGACATTTCCTACCTTTGAAAAAAAAAATGGGCAAGTAACCAACAGACTTGTGGTGCCTGCCATTTCCCATCTGTAAATTTCTCAAAATACTATTCCAGTAAGCCATCTCTTAGGGTTCATGATGTGATTAATAATATTGTGTGTCAGTCATCTTGAGCATTCCAGATAAAATAGTTTCTTAAGAACACACCGTTGTTGGGTGCCAGTGGCTCACGTCTCTAATCTTAGCCACTCAGGAAGCTGAGATCCGAGGATTGTGGTTCAAAGCCAATGCAGGCAAGAAAGTCTTATCTCTAATAAACTACAAAAAAAAATGCTGGAAATGGAGCTGTGACTCAAGTGGTAGAATTATCTCCTTGAGCTTAAAAGCTCAGAGACAGTGCCCAGGTCCTGAGTTTAAACCCCTGGACCAGCATCAAAAAGAAAAACAAACAAACAAAATATGCAGGTGTTGAATTATGAATGGAAGACAGTTCCATCAGTTTTCTCTTTATATGGGTGCTGCAGTTTTCTCACAGGACTCAATCTAAAATAAATGTTTCTACTTGATTCCCACAATACATGAATAGTGTTGCTGTAGGAAAAAATCATCTCCTGCCTCTAGAGACATTAAATCAAGAGGGCTAAACAGAGTGGGTAGAGTAGCTTTACTTGGGAATACAATCCTCACATTTACATTCACCTGAAATGTTGCTGTCATGAGGTTGAACCTTACAAGTGCAAGTATGAATGAGTACTCTTTTCTTTCTGCAAAACTTGGTTCACTATCACTTAATATTATTGTCAATATTTGCTCCTTACACCACCCAGTTTAACTACTGGGCCCATACTATCTATTTCCCATGCACTCAGAACAACCTGTAGGACCCTCCCCACCTCCCCACATTTTTCCAGACTTCCACTATTCTCTCTCCACTAAACAGGCCAGGCCAGTGTTCCAGCCACCCTCTTTATCTGCCTTCACATTCTTTCCTCTGCCTATTCATGGAGCCGCTGACGGCTGGTCTAGCTTCCTGTAATTTCATGGGTGATGGGGACTTTTCTCCCTTTACCATGGCCTCTGCGTTTAGTTGTTTTAGGTAAGTTATTTCCTCCCCTCTTCTCACTTGAGTTCATATAGCTTTCTTTTCTCAGCCTCCTAGCCCCCTTCACCAGTGAGAGGTCTCTTTTAAGCCCTAGAATCTCGGGGTGCTCCTGTGTTTCCTCTCATCAGAGAGCAGGATTTCCTGAGCCAGGGATGTGTATGATTAAGGCACAGCTAGGTTCTATCCTGAACATACCTCACAAACATCTCCCTAATCTTTGTTCACTATATCCCAGGACAATGAAGCCTGTCCTCTGTTTTTACTGTGAGATATCCTTTCTTTATACTCTGAAGATGAGCAAAGAGGGAAATCCTTCATCTCTAAGTTAAGCTACTCTCTACTCTCACTCTGTTTTTGATTTGGAAGTTTTCTTTCTCCTTCAACCCCTAATGTGACAGATTTAATGGGAATAAAGGTTAAATAAATAGCTAGAAAAGCGAAATGTCACATAAAAGTAAAGTATCAGATGATCTTTTGAGTACCTTATTAAATGCATTGAATTTTTTAAAAAAATATATGATAGGTAGAAATATCTAAGTGAGGGTAAATTCTCAAATGCTCTTTTGTTTCTATTGGGAAAAATGTAATTTGATCTATTAACAATTTAAAATGTATATGACATATAGGAGAAGAATCCTGAATAGTGACTAGAAAATGACCATAGATCTGGATACTGGTAGCTTGCACCTGTAATCCTAGCTACTCAGAATTCTGAGATTTGAAGATCATGATTTTGAAGCCAATTGAGGCAAGAAAAATCCTGAAATTGAGGGGTGGCTCAAATGGTAGAGAGTTAGCCTCGAGCAATAAAGCTAAAATTGAGACTCTGAGTACAAGTTTCAGTACTGGCACAAAAAAGACAGACAGGCAGGCAGGCAGGCAGGCAG